CCGGTCGCCAGACCCCCCCCCCCCTGAAGCTCCCCACACCTCCACTCCGGTGTAGCCCCACCCACGCACAGACCTCACTTCTGCCCCCTCCGGGGCATCCCGGCCCATCTCCATTCCTTGTAGCCCCCCTGGGGATCGGTGTGTCCCGCCCAGCCCCTCTGCACCCGCCCCCACCACTGCTTCCATGTAACACTCGTCTCCTGGGCCTGTGGCCACCCCGGGCCGCCTGGCTCCTGCAGGGCCCACCGGGGTGTGGGGGGGAGTCAGGGGCCGGTCCCGTCAGAGGCTCTGACGCTGTCTGGGAATGGGGCCCAAAACACCTTGAGCCCGGGTTGGGGGGGGAAGGGGGACAGCTGGGTCTCAGGCCCTGCTCCGGTGCCCGTAGTGGGGGGGGGGCAGGGCCCAGCCTGACCTACTTCCCCTTTGCACTTCGCTGGGCACTGCCACCGCCTGTGGGCACCGCCCCCCCCAGAGCACCCCACAGCCCCTCCCAGCCCCTGCCCCCCCAGCCCCATCCCTGGGTGCTGAGCGCTGCTGCCCCCACCCCACACTGTGTGTTTGTGCCCCAAGCCCTGCGCCCCCCCCCCCATCGCAGCGACCGGCAGAGCCCAGGCTGACGGGCCTGAGCTCCGATCTCCACACTGCCAGCCGCTGCCTGTGTCACCCGACAAACCCCCACCCCGGGGTGCTCCCACTGCCTGCACCAGCCGGGCCCTGGGGTGCTGCTGGGTGGGTGGGGTGGGCAGGGCACAGCCCCTCGGGGGCACCAGGTGTGAGGGGGCAGCACCCAGCCCCGAGGGGTCACCGCAGCAGCAGGGTCCTGGCCGGGGGGAGAGGGGCCCGCGCCTTGCGCTGTAGTTACAGTTTCTGCTCCCGGGGTAACGGGCCGGCAGCAGGACGTGGCTGGGGGCTGAGGGGGGTGTCGCCGTGTGAGCATTGGGCAAGGGAGGGACGGCCCCTTCCTACCCCTGCAGGGGCTCTTAGCCCTTCAGCACCTTCGCGTTCAGCCCCAGGCCCAGCCTGTGTTCCCTTCCCCACCCCCAGCTGCAGGGAGTGGGGAGGGGAGGGGCGGTGATGGGGGAAGGGCCCCCCCTTAAGCAGACTCTTGACCCCCTCCCCATGAGCCCAGGGCTCAGAACAGGCCACAGACTGAGCTCCTGGGAGCGTCCGGACCCCCTCAGGCCGCGTCCCGGCGTCTGCACGGCCATGGGCTCCCCGGGGGGCTGGACAGACAGACGCGCACGGCCACGGGCTCCCCGGGGGGCTGGACAGACAGACGCGCACGGCCACGGGCTCCCCGGGGGGCTGGACAGACAGACGCGCACGGCCACGGGCTCCCCGGGGGGCTGGACGGACAGACGCGCACGGCCACGCGCTCCCCGGGGGGCTGGACGGACAGACGCGCACGGCCCCGCGCTCCCTGGGGGGCTGGACGGACAGACACGGGGCAACAGGCGCCCCGGGACGCACACACACAGCGCTGTGCACCCGGCTGTGCGAGGGTCACACTGACAGACCTGCATGAAGCCTGGATTCGTGGGCCCACAGTGCCATGAACCTGCACACGGCACAGTCCTGGGGCTCAGGGAATGCGCCCCCGGGCGCCCTGGGAATGGCCTCTCAGGAGTGCCCCCAAGGGGGTGCGCACTCAGACACACCCACGTGCCCATGTGGGCACCCGGCCGGCCCACGCCCCAGGGCCCGGCAGCCACAGGCTGCCTGTGTTGTGCTCCTGGCTGCACCCAGCGCTCGCATGATTGGCTGTGTCAGAGCTGAGCTGGGCACAGGCCTGGCAAGGGGGTGTCTGGGTGCAGGGGGACAGACCCCCCCCATGGGAACAACAAGCTGGCAAGCAGGACAGGAGGCTGAGCTCCCCCATGCTACAGCCCCGGTGTGTGCCCGGCCACATGTCCCTGCCACTCACACAGCCACGCGGTCCCTGGGGGACAGACAGACAGACGCCAACAGGCATGCAGCCCCTGGGGGACAAACAGAGAGACGCAGGCTGTCACTGGGGGCGGATGGACAGACAGACGCACACAACCCTGGTGCCCGTGAGGGGTGAGGTCCTGGGGGAGGGGCGCAGTCACCCCATTGTTCTGCTGAATGTCAGAGATGCGAGTCCCCGTTTTATAAATGTACAAACTGCTCCGTAATAAAGAGGCACAAGTAGACCCCGAGCCGGGCGCGCCGCGTGGTGTCCTGCCGCGGAGCTGGGCTGGCCGCGAGGGCAGCACCCCGATGGCACCGGGGGGTGATCCAGGCGCTCGTAGAGCGTGGGGCGAGGGGGAGACCGATGCCCCAGCGCCCATCAGGGCCCTGCCCCATGTGCAGGCTGCCTGCTGCTGCAGCCGCTCCCACCCAGAGCCAGCAGCTCCCTGCCCGTTCCCCGCCCCACGCTCCACCCTAGGGCAGCCGGCTCCAGCTGGGTGGGAGAGAATGCCCCCCCCCCGCATCGGGAGAGCAGCCCCTGCCCAGCCTGGGGCGTGTGTGTGGGGGTGTCAGGCTCCTGAGCGGTGCCCCGGGGGACCCCCAGGCTGCCAAGCCGGGTTTGCCTGGACAAAGGAAGTGGGGGGGGGGGGCGTGCCAGGGCCCCTCCTTGTGCTGAGCTCAGTGGGGGCCCCGAGCGCGTGCAGGGAGGAGTGAGCCCCATTGTCCTCCTGCCACGTGAACATGCTGCCATCACACACACACACACACACACACCACGCACGTGGCCCTGACGAGGGGCAGCACTGACACCCCCGCTCACAATTCTGCCCCCCACACACACCCTGAGGAGGCACTGGACGGGCTGTGGGGGGAGCCCACTGTCACGCTGTCTGGAGCGGCGCAGGACCGTGAGTGCCAGCCACAGAGCAGAGCGTCAAGAGGCCAGGCAGACGCCCCGAACTGGAGTGTCCATCACAGATTTCACCTGCCCAGTAACAGGTGTGAACACCCGAAGCACTGCAACAATCTGACCGGCGTCACAGACAGTCCCCGTGGGCTCTCCGTCCAGCCGGCCACCCAGCAAGCTGCTTCGGGATCGCTGGTTGCCAGGCACCAAAGATCACAAACGATTCCGGTTACTCCCCATCTCCGAGATCAGCCACTTGCCCCAGGTCAGTTTGTACCTAGATCACACCCCAGAGACAGGGCTTGGAGCCAGCCCTATAGTAACTGACTGAGGATTTACTAACTAGGAAAAAGCCATGAGAGAGTTTGTTCCAGGTCAAAGCAGGGCGCGTCTACACACAACTGAGTGACAGTCGGTGGGTCCAAAAGGTGACACTCGGTCAGCGCTGACTGTCTTTTAGGGCTGACGCAGGGTGACCCCGGGGATCTCTGCTTCGGTTCGGTAGCTCCGCCCTGGGAGCCTCCAAAGGGCAGAGGAGAGGAAACATTTTCTTGTCAGCTGTTTTTATTTCCTTCCTCCAGAATTCAAGCTGTGGGAGGAGCCTTTTCCTGCAGCCTCGTCAAGGGTGTGTAGCGCCCCCGCTCCACCTTCCTTAATGCCAATCTGCTGACAGGTGTTGATGGACAGGTCTGGGTTCGTGTGGATCCCGCCACCCACTCAGCAGCGTGTATCCTCTTTATTTTTCCTATGAAATTATTTGGTGGGGTCTTCACCCCCCTCACTCCTTCCTGGCAGGGTCACCAGGGGAGCTCGGGAGGAAAATTCTAACCACAGGGTAACCCCCACTTTCTTGCCCGATCGTTGGAGACTTCCAAGAAATAACACAAACAAACACAATAATTATATTAAACAGGAGACAAATATAACATAGGGTAAAACACTATTTTTAGGGTCACTGGTGCCCACGCCGCTAATACCTGTGACTTTCCCCAGTCACGTGACCTGAGGTAGCAAATGTAAGATCAGTGTCCCGTTGGTACGCGTACTTTGTTGGGGCCCTTGATGACCGATGACCACGAGATCGTCTCTGCAGTGGTTTAGCAGGGTGGCTGACTGGTTCAGTACAGCCCAAAGGAC